TAAAATTATTGAATTTAAAACAAATTAAACAATAACATAAAATTTATCGAATTTAAAAACATTTAATGGCAAATCTAAATATATTTCCGCGAATATGAAGTTGATGATTTATCTTCAAAAAAAATACTCCAGCAGTAGTCCGCCAACATATTTATACGATTCTTGCCGTGATAAAACTTTTCGAGATTTTCTATCTGTTGATAGAACCGCTCCCCCATTTCTTCTGACACAGCACCTAAGTTTTCAGGAAAAAAATCTTAATGGGAATGAAGAAAATGGATTATGAGGGACATTCGGCATCCCATTTCCTTATAATTAGTTAATAGGTCATCAATTTTCTCACGATAGTCGGCTGATTTATGATTTCCAAGGAACGATCCGCATATCCATTTAAAAGATTCCCATTCTTTTAATTCAATGAGTAACAATTCATCTTCAAAAAACTGTCCTTCATGAGTTTTCTTATTTCGGGGCCCACTAAAATCCCCTCTTTTATTTTTACTTAAGCTTGGGGAAAAGGTTTCTAAGGTATATCGTGGGGCCCTCGGACAATTTTTTGATAAAATTTTTGATTAGTACTAATTTTATGTGCAAAGGAGGCAACAAAATCTTATTTTTAGAAACAAGCGGGATATTTACGCGATTTTTTTCAAGAACGTTGGGACGATCCTCCCATTCAGATACTGTATAATGTTTTAGAGTTTCTCTGGAATTCCAGAGACAAAGAAAACACGAATGCTTGGTGTAGCCTAACTGAGCGATCATTTTGAGATCGCAGCATATCTTAAATTCGTAAATGGAATAATTTATTTTTGACAATAAATATTTCATATTTTCATATGATTCATTTAACTGGTTGGAATAGGCGATGAGAATTAATGGCTTAGAATTTCCGTTATGAAGAAAAACTGCTTTCAAGCTGTTTTTGCTTGAATCGATGAACAAGCGCCATTCATCGGGCACCAATTCAATATTAAGTTGTAAAAAAAGTTGACCTAGATTGTTGGAATAGTATAAAAAATTTTCGTAAGAGGGACAAAATTTTTAAACGATGCTCCACGGAATCGGTATGAAGTTCGAACTCCATTTTTGAAAATTTTAAAATCATTAAGCCTTGAGGCTAAAAATTCGGACTTTCTTTTTGAAAGTTGTAAATTTCTGGTTATGTCATTTAGTTGCTCTTGTGACATAAATGGCGAATCCTCTTCTGGATGATACTCAAGATCAATATTGTCATTTTCCTGGCAACGTAATTTTTCCAGCTGCGAACTATTAAAAAAAGGAACTGTTGTATGCATATTATATTTTACCGGATAAACAACCGACGAAATTTTAGGATAACGAATTTTCTTCTTATTTTTTTTTGTTAAACCCAAATGTACTAATCGAGCAAAAATCAATCCCACGAATGATTTCTTGCTACGTGCCAAAATGCAGGTTTCGAATAAGGCAAATATGACCGTTTTCCATTTACCCATGAATTAAAAGAATTATAACATGTTTTACATATGTAATTAGGGGCAAATGGTTTATCCAAATCGCAGAGTGGAATATTGTAATAAATTTCATAAATCCTTTGAATGATTGGAGAAATTGGACATTTTTGTGCGGGCAATATATAGCCCGCACAGATGTAACAAAATTTAGAGACACACTTTAAACAAGGGGACCTCGGCATTAATTTTTTGTAGAATATTATATAAGGAGGGAATTTGAATAATATTTAAAATCCAATTTAAAAAAAAATTAATGAAAGAAATTAAATGTTTATAAAAAATTAAGCGCAAAAAAAAGTAATTCTTCTCCTTTCTTCCTACTCGTTATTTGGCCTTATTATTTATTATCCATACTACGGGTTCAAGGTACTTCATTGGAAAATCATTTTGATATAAATTGATTAAAAAAACAAATATTCTTAAATACATCTAAAAAAGATAAATATTAATAAAAAATATGAAAAAATTACCAATTATTGCATTTTAAATGAATTTTGCTTCAAAAATTCTCAATTCAAAATGAGTACAAATTAAAAAAAGTGGGTACATATATCTGATTTTGGTATAAATTGATCATAAATGCATAAAATATTACTAAATACAACTAAAAAAGATAAATATTACATTAATTTTTCTTTAAAAATGCTTTATGCAGAGAAAATTCAATAAAAGTGTGCAAATTAAAAAGTTCGAAAATATCTGTACCGACTTTTTTAATTTATAATATTTTGGTTGAATTTTCTTGGCATAGAGTATTTTTGAAACATAATTAGAATTAATATATAATCATGAGCATATTTGAAGCAAAATTATATAAAATTTATCTTCTAAAGTTAATAATTTTGATAGTAATTTAAATTGAAAACTTAAGACTCCCAAAACGAAATTCTTTACCATTTTTCTCAAAAACCAATCGATAAAAAATTATTAGTAAATTTATAAAGAAATATAAGTTTAACACTATCACCAATTTTCAGGGATTTTTATTTGATACTTTTTAAAGTATATCCGTATAAAGACCTAAATTTGACCATTTTTGAGATTTCGAAAATTTGTCTTTATACGGTAATATTTTTAAAACTTGACGTGTAGGGAAAATTTGGACAACGGATTCGAACTCAGCGTCAAATTCTGCACCAAAACTTGTTTTTATTTCAAACTATTATAATTTTCCAAAACTTAAACATTTTTTACAACCAAATGAATTTATGATAATTTGTTGATATCTCTGAAAATTATGCATTTATAATCCAAGACACTGTTCAAGAATTCCACTGGAATAATAATCAAGCCACTATCTATCCTATGATAGCATATTTGAATAATGGCAATATAGGAAACCTTAATTATATGGTAATATCAGAGTCACTTCAACATAATGTTATGCAGTACATTTATCCCAGACTAAAATGATAAAATTTTTGACCATTCAATTCAGCAAAAAGCCAAACAAAATATATTACTGCTCTGACAGATCAGCTGCGCAATATAAAAACAGGAAATTTTTTTATAAATCTGTGTTATCATAAATCAGATTTTGGTGTAGAATGGCATTTTTCAGCTACATCCCATGGAAAAGGTCCATGTGATGGCCTTGGCGGAACATTAAAAAGATTAGTAGCACGTTCAAGCCTTCAGCGAATCAGTTCTGGACGCATTTTAACGCCAGTTTATTATATCAGTTAGCAAAACAAAACATACCATCAGTAAATTTTACATATATAACCAACGAACAATACAATTTACAAGAGATTAAACTATGAGAAAAATTCAATTTAGCTCGTCCCATTCCAGGAACTCGGGAAATACATGCTGTATTTCCTTTGAGTTAAAGTAAGCTTAAATCAAAAATATATTCATATGCAGAGGACTTTCAAATTAACAATATTTCAAATGCCGATAATTTGACTTTTGCCGATATTAAAGAATTCGTAACATGTTTTTATGACGATTTTTGGTGGTTAGCCACAGTACTAAAAAAAGAATGAAATTACTGAGGAGATATATATTGCCTTTTTACATCCCCATGGACTATCACCATTCTTCTTTTACCCCACAATTGAGGAGAAGCTATGGTTACCCAATAATCAAATAATAACAATAGTAGATCTTATTACAGTGACAGGACATACCTACAAATTATCGTCTCAAGAAATTCTATTAATAAGCACAAAATGGGATAAGATTAAAACAAGAGGTATTTATTTTTATATTGTTTGTGTATAAATTTTTAAAATATGTTTATTTTACAATATAGCGTCCTAATAAAATCATATCTGTATGGGCTGCCTGCTTACATATAGCCCCAGGACATCAATCTTGGTTATACTCAATTGATTTTTTAATTTTAATCACAATACTATTCATATTTTTATTAAAAATTATATATTATAAAAAAATTAATATAATGCCATCTATATAACATTTTTTTATTTATAAAAATAATAAAAATTCAAATAAAATTTAAAAAACAAAAATGGCTATCGAGATTTTTTATTAAATCGTTTAATATAAAGGTAATAAACATTTTTAATGAATATTAACACCCAAAAAAAATCCCTTCCTAACAATGTTATTTTTTTATTTTCACCGGAAATAAGAAAACACTTGAAATTTTTTAATTTTTTTAAATATTTTCCAACGTAAAACTTTAAGGGCTATAAAATAATATATAATTTGTAACTCTACCTTAAGTATTTTTTTAAAGTAACAAGATTTAATGAAATCACGCACTTCGCGATTTTCGACTTTGAAGGCGTATATCTTTGGATCTGGTTGAGCTAGCACTCTAAAATTTTGATTTTATTAACATTTACAACATAAATAAATAACATGTCAAGTTTCAATCATTTTTGAGATGGTCGGCCGAATCGCTGGTTTTATAATTATATAAATAAAAATGACAAAAGGGTCACATCCGAACTAATTTTTTTTAAAGGTCTTTGGTCTGAAAAGACGGATTATGACTATCTACACTGATATATTTTTACTCTTTTATTAGTAACACATAAAAAAATAAACAATTATTGAAAATTTTATGATATCATTATGTTTGTTAAATAAATAGATATTTGTAAAATTTTTACATGAAACAAGGCAATAATGTAGAATATTTTTTTTGCAATCATGATATTAAATTTTTCTATATTTAAATAAAATCGGAAGGGCCTGGCGGACAAATAATTTTTATTTCAGATAGGGCTTTTATAAAAAATTCGCTTAGGATCTAGTAGGTTCGGGCAAATTTTTTTAAAAAAATTTCGGATCAGGCCTGAAAAATTAGCCCCGATGCTAATCACTAATATGAATAGTTAACACATTATTAAGAAAAATAGAAAAAAAATTAAATTTCATTTTATATAAATTAATTTTAAAATTCAGTATCTGATCGACATTATTTAAAGATCGTTTGATCCGATATCAATATTAATATTAATGCAGCCATAATATTCATCATGAAAAACTATGTTTTATTCAATTTAATCTCCTTAAAATAACACTTAGAGTTGAAAGGGAAGATGAGATGGATTGTCTGGTTCTGGGTTGCAATTTTTTACTTAAAAACATCCCGGATGAAGCTTTTTCCTACCACAAATGTCGCAATCCTGAATACGAGTTCCAAAATATAAATGATAGTGATATCTACCCTTATCTGCTCGTTAATATTGGATCTGGTGTCTCTATACTCAAGGTTATCCGATTAAAAAGCTTTTATGTTATAATCATATTTAGTATAAATTAGAAATGGGCACAACCCGGTCTGTTAAACCTTTTATTTTTTATATTTCTGGCCCGGCCCATTAAATTATTTTGTACGAGTTACGCAGTGGGGCCTGTAATATAATTTTTTAATGGAAATTATCATACATCAATTGAGCCAAATTTCAAAAAAAAGCTTGTAAGTTTAGTTTAATTTTTTTAGATGTATACTGGATTCAATTATTTCTCCGGTACCGGACTGGATTCAATTTATTTATATAACCGGCCGAGTCTGATACCGGATTTATTTTAAAAAATATTAACTCTTATATGTATTATCAGAGGCAGCGGTGACTTAATATATTTTTGTTTTGTCAATGATATAATATAATATTTGTTTTTTTATTTCATTTTTATTTTTTAACAATATTCATTACCACGCTTATTCTTTATTAGAATTTAAAATTTCTGCATGATTTAGTGGTTGCTATTACAAGTAAAACTAAAACGTAAATAAGATTTAAGACGTGCAAGTCCTAAAACTATGTTGTTAAACGGCTCATTTTGAGCCCGTTTTTTAAAACGGCTAACTCAATATTTTAGCCAGAAAAATATTGCCTAAGCCTCGAGATTTCGATAATATATGCCTAGACCTTTGTTCCTTCTATGAGCAAAATCTTGAGGCTTGCGTAATATTTTTCTGGACGAAATATTGAGTTAGTCGTTTTTTAAAAATCGGCTCAAAACGAGCCATTTAACCATTACCTAAAACAATCGTTCTGCAGAAACGTAAATTATTAATAGCATTTTAATAAATTTTACATACTCTAAAAGAATCAAAATAATTTATTTCATACTTTGTTCCATTTCTATGAAGAAATGAACGATTTCTTTTAAAATCAATTCTATAGAAAACTGAAACATCATCAAGTTTTTGGATCGCGAATTGCTCCATATTAATTAAATGATCTATACTGGTTCTTTAAAACTATTTTTTATACTTACAATTGTGTGATCTAAAACATCAAAATTAATTTGTCTATAATATTTATTAACTGACCTGAAGTTATGGTTTGATAAATTCAAGTCTTCTTCGAGTCTTATAGAACTTCTCTCCAAAACTTATCCAAATTATCATCTTGTTGTATTGCATCTAGAAATTTTATCAGGATTTCTATTTTATATTTAACATTTTAAAAAAGTAATGAAGAATTATTGATTTCAGCATTTAAAGCTTCTAATGTCTCAAATATTGTTATAACCCTTTTAAGAAAATAAGTTTTCAAAAAGCTTTATTTGGTGTAATACATTTTTTGCTCTTATAGCACCTCACTGCAAATGTATTTATAATTTCTAATAAAAGTTTTGATTATGATTCTAACACCAGTGCGTAAGGCATAATGGCCTTAAATATTGAACTATTATTTTCATCTTGGATGGAACGAAATATCTCCATCTGTTTTGGTGAATCTCGAACAAAAAATAATAAATCTTTCATTAATACTATAAAATGCAAATTTTTGTAATAGTATTAAATGAATCTTTATACAAGCCTTAATGTACGACCTGCACAATGTCCCTAGATTACTCTAGATTCTTCATTACGAAGACGCATTTGTAAACCAGATATCTTTCACTAATGTTAGATGCTCCATCAAAACATTGATTTGAGATGTAATAAAGGGATAGACGAAAGAGCATAGCAATATAGAAATAATATAAAAATTAGTTTTTCTCTTTGTTTTATTTTGAATGGGATAATAATTCATCTATTTTTTATGTGGGCAGTGCCCCCATATTCTTCTTATAGATAGCGCGAATTCGCGGCGATGAAAACAAATGCCACTAATTCTCGCTAACCGTGAATGCAGATATAGAAAGAGCCCCGCTGCCCCTATATGTCGACCCCATGCATAGTATGTACAATAAATCGAATTAAAACAGTAAAATAGTGTTGTGCAGATTTATTTCAAGACATTTCCATATTTTTTAATTCGTTTGTAAATAAAATTATTTAACTTGTAAAAATTGATAAGAAAATATAAATGTTATTTTAACAATTTTTTATAAGTCAAATAATTTTATTTTCAAATAAAAAAATATGGAAATGTTTTCTATCAAATATGGTCAACACTGTAGAGTCATATATCGAGAGTATTATAGATTTGTATATCATAGTAAAAAATACAAAATATGTAAATTGTAATTCTCGAATTTATAAAAAAAATACATCTTTTTTTGTGTACATTGTAATTGTTAATTATTTCACAATAAATTTTAAACAAAAGAATATTTAAAAAATTGTATTTGATTTATTCATAATTTTTTAATTAATATAGTATATAAAATGGAACCGGCTATTTTTAATAGAAATGACCGAATCCAAATAAGGAAGATCCGTTACATCTCTAATTTTTTGTATCTGGATTGACACGGCCCTTTAAAATATTTTGTACGGGCTTCAAGCTAGCCACTGCAGATCTCTAATCGAAATAATGTTTAATTATATTAAGAATCATAGTATTTTTAATACTTTTCCCACAAAAATCATCAATTAAATTTTTATATATTATATTGAATTTAGTATTCTTTTAAACTTATTTATTACAACAACCATTGTTTCATTATTATAGTGTTCTGTCATCTTTTCGGTCAAAATAGGTTTTGTATAGATATATTTTATTATATAGGGATCTTCTTTATCTATTTTGATTCAGAAATTTAGAATTTCTAAGCATTTTATAAGTTTTGTTAAAATTGGGCATTTTGTTTGAGTGTTCTTTTTATCCATTTTTTTGTACCTAATTTGCAAAAAAATTTTTGGCAATATTTTAATTAAAAGAAATGTATAAATTATGAGTAAAAATAAATAAAGAGGATTTCTTTGTTAGAAATAATTAATCTTTAACTAATTTTTCACTAAAATGGATAAACTATATTTATTTTGTTTGTTTAAAATAAATTTTATATTATAACTACTACAAATAAAAAATAGGTTGAGAGCGAAACAAAATACACAAGAATAGGTGGTACATCTATGGGAGGTGGTACGTTTTGGGGGTTAGGCTCTTTGCTGACTCAAGCTAAAGTATTCCATCTCAAAAATCAATATGAAAATCCAGAAATAAATAATGAAATATAAGATAGATATGAAAGTGTAATTATTTTTATAGTTATGACCATAGGCGTAGCCAAAACTTTCTTGAGGAGGGGGGGGGAGGTCTTCACTCATATTTTTTGTCCGTTTTTCCCAGTCCTATTCCTGATCATATTTACATCTTTTTTTAACTAGTCGTTTTAATAATTTAATTAAAAGTATTATAACATGTAAACTGATAGAATTATATATATTTAAATAAATTTAAGAGCCATATCAAAAATATTTTTAAAAATTAACATTAAATTTTAAAAAAAATAAGCTAAAAATTATCATCCTCTAGCAGGGTTGTGCATTTGACCGGTCAAATACGTTTCGGTCAATTGACCGATATTTGACCGGCCAAATATGGTCAAATGTGGTCAAATTCAAATATATTTTTTTAAAGTTAATATTAACTTTATTTTGAATATGATAGTAAAATGAATCTATAATATTAATTTTTTAAATTCATTCAATAACTAACGTGTAGCTATCTGTATCAGAGTCTTGTTCTGATTCATATTCAATATTATCATTTTCTTTAATATTTTTTAAACAATTTTCCTGATATCTTATATCTTAAATCGATTTCTATTTTCATAAGAATATTAACCCAAATCGACCTATTTCTTTCTAAAGAAGAAGTAGAACTAGGAATTGTTAGTCTCTTAATGGGCAGGGTAGACAAAGTTTAATCTATTAACTTGAGGTCGGAATTGATTGTTTCTGGAAATTACTACTTTCCACATATTTTGCTACATTAAACATGCTGTTTTTGCTTCTGAAATTAATTATATCACTTAAAATATTTTGGTCATCACTACCTTGTAAAATAGCTAATTCTTGAATTATATCACATACTTCATTAATTACACTACTAGTGAGTTCTCCTCTTGATATTGTGGACCCGAAAAATAAGCAAACATTGTGATCACATGTATTTACATCTTTTTTCCCTTTTTTAAACATATTTTTAATTTATTTTTCCTTTAAATTTTTTAGAGTATTTGACCGTATTTGACAGGTCAAATACTCCTCCGGTCAATTGACCGAATTTGACTGGTCAATTGACCGACTTGCCAACCCTATCCTCTAGTGATGGCCTTTAATCTTTAAATAATTTAAAATAGTATCGTAAAATTTAAAGCTTACTTTTTGTTTGATCAAAAGGGCCCTCAAGATTGAGTTTAAGGACTCCGAACATTATTTTGATTAGGGATTTAGGCTCTTCCCCAAATGAACAGTATTTTAGTACTACATGGGTAAATATGTTGTCTGCTAGATGTGAATATTTTTGGGATTTTTTCGTTTATACTTAATTGAGTATCCATTATTATATGGGGCGAAAATGTTTATACTTGTAAAGTCCCATTTCATGTGTTTCCTCATATTCCAGGTGGTTAACTTATGCCCATCAGGCCACAAATCATTAATAACAGTCTCTCAAGGTTAGTTATATGCATTGGTTTTGAATAATGACTTTTGGATTATTTTATTAATTCTTTCGTGCGTTACATACTTGTATCTGTTCGCGAGATATTTAAAATAATATAAGTTAATATTTATTTTATTTTACACTATATTTTCCTAAAAATTTAAATAATATTAAATAAAATATATTAATTTATCAGGAACCCTGAACAAATACTTTATGAGATTCCTGTTCTTTACCAGCTTTTATAACCTCCCGGAACGCGTTTCTAAGAAAATATCTATTTTATATACTATGCAAATTTTATTCTCTAATATCATTTATAACTGGAATTGAAAACGAAATTATAATAAATATTAATAATGTTATATATAAAAACTAATTTATAGATTAATTATTTCCGTAATGTGATAAATTTAAGTAATTTCTCACCAAAAATACCAAGAGTAGTTGGTGACAATTGGGATAAAAATTACGATAGCGATGTCTAAATTTATTTATTTTCAAGATTTCTGTCGAACTAATTGTTGAGGCATTTCTGTTGCATCGTGCTCAAAAATCGATGCCTGTGTAATCCCGAGCAACTGGAAGACGAAGGTATTAGGGTGATACCTTAGGGTCTACTGTTGTTGCTTGAGCATAGATGAGGGTTCTAGGGTGTTTGGGATACTGTCCCTTTTAAGAGCCTTTGGGATTAAGTTATTTATCTTTATACGTCGTGGGAGGCGGCCTTTGGAATATTTGCAATGTAAAGAACAATTAATGCATTTGAAAAGAAGCGATATATCTCACCCGAGACGCTAAATAGCAATACGACGTTTTTTAGTGAGATGAAAACCGAGATTTATTCATTTTTTGATGGAAAGAGAGACGTGGTATCAATGATAAAAAAATCTTTTGGTGGGGAAGGGGATAGGTGGATTTTCTGATTCTTCCTTGCCTACACCATTAGTTGCGAAGAAATGTAGTGGTTAATAATATAACTTAATTTTTTTGGAAATAATTTGTAATTGAAGTTCTATTCTTTCTAAATACCTAACTACTTTTAATTTTGCAGATCAAAGTATGTAAATATTAATTAAATGTTATAGCAAAGTTATTATCAGAGTAGAAATCGGAACGTGATAAATTTAGGAATCGAAACCAGAACCTGGAACCTTCTTTTAAAATTTATTGGAACTGGAACCCATTTTAGAATTTGCAGGAACCGGTGAACCATTCCTATAAACAAAAATGCAAATAATTTACATGTATGTTGAAAATATTGTCTGAATTATTTTACAGGGTTTATTTTGCTTAAATATTTCAATTTTTTGATTACTTTAACAAAATTTGAAACAGGAACTAAAACCTGGAACCCGCGGAACAACATCAAATTTAGGAATTGAAACCAGAACCCACTTTTCAAAATTTTAGGAACTGAATCACATTTTTAAAAAGTCAAAACGGAACCAGAATCCTTTTTCGTCATGTTCCAAATTCTGCTTATTGTATATGCCACACTCTGCCTCAGCCGCCAGACCAACTTAAATTTCTCATCACACATTATTTTCGAAATTAAATATCACATGAAGAACTATTTTTTTAGATGAGACTTTAGAAAATTGTCTTAGAATTTTATTTATATTATAAAAACAAGATTTATTTTCCTTTAGCTACAAAATTATCATAAATTTGTAAATAAAATTTTTTATTACAAATGCAATTGGCAATGCAACACAAATCAATAATAAAAATATAATGAGAATTATTCTGAGTTAAATACATTTGATCTTGGAATAATAGCTTATTAGATATAGTTGTCATTTTATATAACCAATATATTACCTTGTTTACAATAAAAGTACGTCACTATGCAAAAGAAAGATGTTATCAATGCCCTCCATTATGAATGGATTTCAATGATAACTGGAAAATTATTTTCTATTGGCGCTTGTTGGCACTCATTAGCGTTTATTGGCGTTCCTTAGGCGAAATGCTTATAGGCTAGAAGCATCCCAACCATTTATTTTCGCAACAATTTAATTTATAATAAATCGATGAAATTAGTATTAATTATTCATACATTCTTATATTAAATTAATTCATATGTTAAGTATAAGATTTTTAAAAAAGAATATAAATGAGAGAGGTGGAGGAAAAAACAAGATGAGCCTTAAATATAGTTCCATTGATTCAATTAAAGAGAAATGAAGCGGATAATAATAGTGCACAATAATTTGCAACGCGTACATTTACATATAAATTAAATTATTATCCTATTGCTAACTTTTGAAAATCTATTTTCATATAGGGCTGTGCCGATCCACATATTTTTCACCAATCCGATATTTTCCGATATTGGTTCAAATCCGATCCGTTATTAATATTGATTTTTCACCACCCCTTTTTGAACCAAATGTAATTAAGAAATCAATATTTTTATGCAAAAGAATTATGAATTTAATTTTTTTTATTTCAACAAAAATTAAAAAAAATTACATTATAATAAATATAATAATATATTCATTTTATGTTGGTATGAATTATAAAATTGTAATATTTAATTATAAAATGATAATATAATTAGATTTTTTTAAAATAAATATAAGAGCCTCAAGATTTTCATTACAGCATTAACTAATAGGGGATATAATATCAATATCATCAATATTATTCGAGTTCGAGTTGTCTAAATAATGAACACAAATATAAAATTAGCATTTATAATATAGTGGGTTTCATACAAACCCAATCTTTTATTGATTTTGAAAAATAATCAGATATCACCCAAACAAATGGGTCAATCATAACCCAACCAAGCAATATTTGATTAAATATGAAAAATATATTATACTTTCTAGATATAAAGATTCTTTTAACTTTGATCATTGCTAATTGAACATGATTCCGTACTTATTTTTTTTGTTACTCTCTGAATTGTTTCCAGAACAACAATTACCTTTTCTGCTAATTCCCACTCATATAATGAGAGATTTCCCAAATTAGGATTATCGATAATGTACAGCTGTACCGCCCTTTTTGTTCTATCAATCTTTCGAGCATATAATAGGTAGAATCCCAACGGGTCGTCACGTCCTGGATTAATTTGTGCCTAGTTAGATTTAATCGAATTTGGATTTCTTTAGACTATTTTGTGCATTATTATAACCCGGGCAAGCATGTTAATAATAGATCTCTGTATTGCTGCCTGTGCAACCAATTGCAAATATGTGCAAAACACGAAACGCTTTGAAATTTGTCTTTTTTCATGGCCAAAGCTATATTGGGTGCATTATCTCAAATAATTAGGTGTATTTTACTTTTTTTATACCCCAATAATTAATCATTTCATCTAAAATTTGAACAATATTTTTTGCTGTATGCGACTCATCATATTTTTAAGAGCTCTATTAATTTGTTTAAAGTTTTGGTTTATATAGTGGCATGTTAGTGAGATATGAGAATCGCCACCTGGAATTCTAGTCTATATATTTAAGGTAAAGGAAAAATAATAAATTTCTTTACCATTTTTTTCAGAGAGTTTTTTATATATCTCCGGAATAACTCCTTGCGAAAAATACTTTCTATTGGGAATTTTATAATTTGGACATAAATGGTGTAAAAGCCCTTTAAAGCCGATATCCTCCAAGATAGAAATCGGCTGGTGGTCACACGCTATCATTTCCCCTATACATTTAGAAATTATTATGGATTTAGGATCAGAATATTTCCAAATATTAGTTTTATTAAGAATGGCTGATATTGTTGACTGACTTTCAGGGCTCTTTTTTTTAAAAAATTTGAATGTTTTTTTAAAAATATTTCTCGTTCTTTTTGTATTAGCTCTTCGAATTTGATGGAATCGCTTTAAATATTTACGGATATTGGTAATATTAAATGAATTTTTCAGTATTCATCCGTGTAAAATTAGAATTCTGCAGATAACGCATTTTGCAAAATTATCTTTGTCTTTTTTAAAATATTTCCATAATTCAGAAATCATATTTAAAATAATTCTTTTATTTAAAGTATAAATAATAAAATTGGTGTTATTTTTAAATAAATTTTAAATAAATAAAACTTTGGGTGTTCCTTTCTATTTTTATAAAAAAACTTTTAAAATCTATTTAAAAAAATAAATAACATTTGCTATGTTTAAAAAAAATTTATTTAGATAATATTATTAATATAAAATAGTAACTCACTGAAACTCAGGGAAATTTATTATTTTTATTTTTTTTAAAAAAATTTTTATTAAAAAATAATATATATGATGTAAGAATTGCATTTTTAGTAAAAAGATCGGATCAGGTTATTACAGGTAACAGCCTTATCCGATATTTTTGGAATACGTTAATATCAGTACCGATCCGATATTTTTTGGAATACGTTAAATATCGGTACCGGTCCGATATTTAATATCGGCACAGCCCTATTCATAAACCTAGTTTATAATGCTAAAATCGCCGCTGTTGAAAAAATAGGTATTATAAGTTTGTTTATGCATATCAAAAAATATATACAATCCCTTACATTTGAAAAATAAACATAATATTTCATCTTGCATTCTAAAAAAAATAACCAATTAAATTTTATTCAAAATTCCAGGAATTTATTTAGAATCTAGGTTCACTTGGAACACTTTAATTCTTTAGATTAAAAATTAAATTAATCTTTATAAAATCTTTCATGTGCGCGAAATTAAAATGAATTTTTTGGCAAGAAATATATTTTATCTCATATTTTATTTTAATAAACTTTGTAGATCATAGTTATTTAAATAATTGACTAATAAATTTTTGAACTAATTTAACATCATTAACTTGCATGTTATTTTATAATCACTAAGAACGATTAATAGTTTAATTAGACATTAATAATTTCAATTGTATTTTATTAATTCTCATAATATGGTTCAGTCATTTGGCCGATATTTGATCGGTCAAATTCAAATAAATGTTTTTCAAGACAATATTTACTTTATTTTATGTAAAAAAGTAAAAAATGAATCTATTTAATATTCAATTATATTTTTTTAAATTCTATAATTAATATTTCGCTCTCGCTGGCAGAGTCTTGCTCTGATTTATATTCAGTATTATTCTTTAATATTTTTAATCAATCTTAGGTTATGATATACTCTTACCAATTTTCCGGTTGTCGAGATCTTCAATCGATTTCTTTTCTTCATATGAATATTACCCCAAACAGACTAATTTCTTTCTGAAAGAGAAGTATAACTAGTAATTGTTAGTGAGATATTAGACACTTTTCTTAAGGTTCAAGATGGGTAAAACCCATTCCAACAACCGGATTATTTTTTATGAAAGTTACTGCTCCGCATATTTTGGCTATTAAATTTACCGCCGCGTTTACTTCTAAATTTTATGATATCATTAAAATATTTTGATTATTATCACCTTATAAAATAGCTATTGTAACCTAATTACATACTTTATATATTAGTTAATTAAATCAATATATTTATTTATCAATTAGAGTATTTGACCAAGTCAAATATTCCTTCGGTCAATTGACCGACTTGCTATTTTTAATTTTTCCTTATTTTTATGTTCCGATTTTGGCCAAATTATAAACCTTCTATTTCTTTTAGTTTTTATGATATACCTTCTAATGCTGTGGATTATACATAGAATCTGACAATATTTGTTATAATGTTAGCATTTTTATTTTAAGAACATAATTTTAGTATTTGGGTGCCCATATACACCTTATGTAATCATTTTTTTTATAAATACATTGTAAAATAAAATTTAAACTAGAAATTTTCCATCAGGAGTATAAATAAATAATTTATTTTAAAAAATTATTTACTCTTTAAAAAAAAGTTAGACTCTAAAGGGTTAATAAATTATGTAAAAGCTCCTTTTACATTTAGGAATGATTAGTGGGAGTTAAAAGAAAATAAGGTAAACTAATCAAATAAAAAAATTAAGTAAACTAATCGAATATAAGAAAATTTTATAAATATCCCTAATTACAATCAATCAATAAAATAAGGGTTTCGACGAACTTTTATCTTTGGCCGAGAGAGGGGATCACAGGAACGTAGATATGCTGGTTAAGGATATATACGGAGGGGATTACAATGCTCACAATTTACCAGCTAACCTTATAGCCAGTAGCTTCGGCAAAACTGTTAGAACATCTGCTGCTTGGTTTCTTATTTTATTTTTGTTTATTTATTTCTCTCAATCTTTCTTTCTTGCATATATTTCTTAAAAAACATTTTATATAATTTTTTTTAAATTTGCAAAATACAAAAATAATTTATATATTAGGTACCCCCCTGCCAACGAAGAACTCGAAAACTGTGGCCCTATATATTATGATGAATTGGATGTTAAGAGCGATTCTACTTATCCTTCGGATATTGATGATATCCATCAGTCTGCCAATTTGATATCTTTCGAAAAAATTACCATAAGAGATGTCAAAACCATCCCTCTTCTTTCACCACAAAATAGCCATAACATTAAAAAAACACCCTATATTGCAAATGGTTCAAGTAATTCTTCCATGCAGAATAATAGTTTTATATCTGAATTATACGACGCCGAAAACGATGTGAAGCAGCCCATGGACCAATGTTTTAAAGAAACGAAACTTATTGATTTTTCAAATAATTACGGTAACCAAAACATATATTCTGAAAATGGCGCGAAACAATGGCTAGGCCAAGGTTTTGAGAGGAAAGATTCTGAAAGGTCGAAAGGTATAAAAAACATAAGTGAATATAATACAAGGTCCGACTTGTTTTGGAAAAATACGAAACCCGTATCAGATGAAGCGAATGATAACTACCTAGCTTCGCAACAAAACACAACTAAAGAGGATAGCGGGTTGAGGAAAAATTCTTGTTCTGGTATACCTTAGTTTATTTTCGTTTCTTTATTTTTCTTCTTTCTTTTATTCTCTTTTATTAATCCATCTCCTTTTCCCTTCTCTTAGACATATACTTGATGAAATATTGACGTTGTATCTAATTTCGTTTATAAACAAACAGTGGTATATATCTATGATTTTACTTCAAGGGTGGAAAAAAGATATCACATATATTTTTGAATATATAAAATCCAATTTATAAGATTAAAAGGGTTTTTTAAATTTAAGAGAAATTTCGGGGAATTTAAGAGAAATTTCGGGGAATTTAAGAGAAATTTCGGGGAATTTAAGAGAAATTTCGGGGAATTTAAGAGAAATTTCGGGGAATTTAAGAGAAATTTCGGGGGAGAGGGGGTTGCAAATGCCCCTTTAAATACTCCACATAAAATCATATCTTTTTATTGATAGTTTACATACCTGCTAGATCTGTAAAATATTTTTGACTAGAAAAATATTTGTAGAGCAGGCAGCTTAAAATTTAAACATTGGACCTGGCGAGCTAAATATTAAAACAGTGAGCGATAAATTTTATACACTTTACGGGCAGAATTAGCTTTTCTCCATCCATCATTTGCGTTTTTGCGCTAAAATATCCCGCTTTGATCGTCGGTGACGTTCTTATATTTATTAAAAATTATTTTTTTATTTCATAATATTGCTTATTTTATATGCATAACCATCTATTGCGCGACATATCAATAAATGATATAATTTTTTAAAAAAACTTTTTTTGTCTTTAAAGGGCCCTTAATAAAGTAAAAATAATTTTTAAAAAAAAATATTTAAACTGTAAAAAAAATTTAGTGTGTGTATTTAAATACACAATGCGTGTAAAAAGTATCATATTTTTTCAATTTAAAATCTATTACAAAATAAAGACATAATTTTATTATTTGATAACTAATGTAATATAAAACGAATTTATATTAAATTTCATTAAATAATTTAAAACAATCGTTTTTTGTAGTAAAACATGATGATACACCATATTTGGTACAAATCACTTTCGTAACCAATTTACAGCCATGATTTTTGCACCGCGCCTTTACTATATTTTGGCCAATGTGCTATTAAATCCTGTCTTATTTCTTTCTGCATAATAAGACTTTTCGGCCCCTTGCTAGATTTTTTTAAATATTTAGTGTCAATTGATATTCGTTTTTTTACCTGAAATTTTAAATGTTAAAAATGGCATCTGTTCCGACCTTTAAAGCTACAAAACCTCGCATATATATTAACCAAGATTTATAACATCATATCAAGTATATGAAATACTATACGGTGATACCATTTACGTGATCTTATGTGAATCCACGTTCCAACTTTTAGAATTCTTTTTCAGTTGGAAACTGCCAATTATAAATTCTATTAGCCCTCGCTGTAGCAATACTCCCTCTTGGGAGAGTAATACTTGATGTTCTATACCCCAGAACCATTTATCAAAACACAATTTAAAATTGGAATGTAGTGGTACCAATAGTTGAAATACCGCATTTCCGCTTGAATCAACATCTGCTGATCTTGAATCGAGAATTTCCTAATCTTATGAGGAACTAATATTAGAATCCGAACTATTTTCTGAAATACAGTACATTTTGACTATAGATAGCAAATAAAGAACATCTATTAATAAAAAAAACAATCAAAAAAGCCCAAATTCATATTGCCTTTGTGCGCATTATGTATCTGGGTACACGTACCTTTTTAAATTTTAAGCACTATTAATGAATATAAAATCTATTTATATATAAAACATTTCTTTTATTTTATTTAATAGGATTTTTAACTTCCTGTTCCTTAAAAATTTGTACAAGAGAAATGACATAATTTATAAAATAGAAAAAATGCAACTATTCGAAAGTTGTAAACTACGTATTTTCGAATTTTTATATTGATAGCTGTCTTTCATTTTTGACAAAATTAACTATAGAAATAAATAAAATATATGTTTATGTTTATCTATTATACATCATGTGTATTAAACTATAAAAAATTTTATATTAAAATTTATACCTTTTTTATAGCATATGTATTCACATATGATGTACGCAATAAAGGGTTAAGTGAAAATATAATTAAAATAAATAAAGCGCCAAACCAACCAATCAAATAATTTTTTAAATGGTAAGCTGGTGGGAGAGATAAACAAAATTTTTAATAAATGGGCGAGCGTGTAAATTTTAAAAATAATCATGGTTAGGCGAGTAAATCCCGCGCATTGCAAGTAAAAAGAACCACTCCGCTCAATTATAATATTTTAACACGTGTAAAACTAGCCCATTACAGACCTCTAGTTGGTATAATATTATTTTAAAAACTAATAGTTTTTATTATTAACCCAAAGATGCGGCGATGCCATCTATATTTATAAAGTTTTTACCAACTTTATCTTTATATCTTTTCTTTTTTAATGTAAATATAGTTCTCATCATTGTGTCTTCCCCACTTATTCCAAATTATTTTTCAAATAAATATTTAAACCCTTGTTCAAATGATATCTCACATGTTTGTTCTTTTTTTTTATAATTAATATAAGAAACTTGAAACAGATAAAAAATAAGATATAAAGCAAGAATATTTTTTTGCACAAACTATCAATGTTCAATTATTTATATTTCACATAGATTTAGATAGGCAGACAGATGGATAATCCTAATAATTTAAAGAAAAATTTATATGATATTATGAGAAAGTAGAATAATTGTGATAAATTATTAAATAACAATCTGAAATATTTTTAAATATAATTATCGGCCAACAATATTGATAAAATTACACTATTGCTTCGCTCTGCATCTCGCAGTTTTTTAAATAAATTTATTATGATAAAATAAGGAATGAGTTAGGTTATCAAGATTATTAACTTCTTAAAGCTAACTATTTATACTGGGCATGAAAACTCCAGGCTAAGAAATATTATTAACATTGGTCATAATTCCCAAAATGAAGAATGTTCGTCTATAAAAATTGTTAAACCAAATGAATCATTAGGTGGATTTGTAACTTTCTATAAAACTATAAAAGCCAATTTATTTCGTTTCTTCAAAGGTAAGAGGTTTAGGGAGGAGGATATTGCGCATTCTTTACTCATAGCCATAAGCAACGACATAGGTCAAATAGCCTTCCTGAACGCCCAACTTCACCGGTTAACCAAAATTTACTTTGGAGGATTTTTCATAAGAGGTCACCCGGTCACTATGCACACCATAACTTACGCTATCAATTTTTGGTCAAAGGTATTTTGATTTATTAGTTAATTGAAATTTTTTTGCCCATTCCATTTCTGCCTCGAAATTTGACATTTTTACCAAATATAAATGGAATATCTATATATTCAAACAAATTTTTTAAAATATAAATCTAGGGAAAAATACTATAACGGTCATTCAAAATTTTCTATATTAGGGTCAAATCAAACCATTATTCTTAAGACACGAGGGATATTTGGGCGCTGTAGGAGCTTTTCTTAAAGGACTCAAGCCAAATGGTTAACATTTCTAAAATAAAATAACAGTGTTGTTAAACGGCTCGATTTCGCCGATTTTAAATTAAGATTTTAGACAAAATAATATTACGCACAGGGTTGGGCAGTAGCGCATATTCTTCTATTTTAAATACTACAAAATATAAAATATTTTTTACTATTTTCAGACAATTAGTCCATAAAAAATTAATGAAGCAAATCTTCCAAAATGTTTGATTGTAGTTATATTCTTTACATTTATCACTACTGTAGAAATTGATATTTTAGAAAAAAATTTAAGAATTATGAAAAACACCTGGGGTTTATATATATATATATTTTTTTAAATTTTTTATATAAAATATTAATCCTAATTAAATGAATCAAAATTCATTGTCAAATGTTTGTACCATTTCCTCCATATTATTTATATCACTTGAGAAGAAGTTGTCACTTAAAGCCGAAAAATGCGAAAATCATCTTTATATTGCCATTTGAGACAAATTCATGGCTTCTAATGTTCATAAATTAGTTAAAAAAAATTATTCAAATAATCCCTGCTTAAAAATAGCTAATACGCACTCCGCCAAAATCTGCCCAGGTCTTCATATTAATTAAAATTTAATTTCATTGCCATAAATATTGTCAATATTTTTTATAAAATTGTTACTTAATCAATTAGAATTGAAATTTAGTCTGGTAACTTTTATAAATTATTGCTTTTGACTTGCTAAAATATTAATTTGCATTTAAAACTTTCATGGGCATATTTCTGCGAAACATTTTTAGAATTATTGAAGCATCTTATTAAAATACATTTATAGTTAAATTTCAAATCACAAGGTTTACTAGTTTTAAAATTATTTGAGAAAAAATTACCTACCCCGGGATAACGCTATCCCCGGTTTCCCCTACTTTTTTTATTATAAATTAAATTGAATTATAAAATATAAATCCACATTTATTTATTTATTTAAATATTAAATTTGTGCGAGTTATCGAAAAAATTAACAACTTGTCCATCAAATCTTATTTTATTTTTAAAATGAGTATTACCGAATTTGAAACCGAAAATGCAAGAAGATGAGGAAGACTTAGGAATTGAAGATAAGTAGTTTTTATATGCTATTATGTTTATAAGATATTTTGCAGTGATTTTGTAACAACGTCAACATCCTCTAAATGTAATTTGATAATTTTGAATGGAAATTTTTTCAAAATATCATCAAAAATCAATAATATAGTGAAGGCTAGATTAAAAATCTGCTCAACAAAGAATAAAACTAAAATCATAAATGGAGCGATTTTATCCAATAGCTATTGATTCGAGGATTGATAAACCGTTTGTTCCTATATATGAGTGTGAAATTGGGTATTAGAGGGAGCATGTAGTGTAAAAAAAACATATTTTTGCAGCATATGGTTTTGGATGAAGTATTATTAGATATTTTATTTTTATTATATAATTTTAATTCCGTATCTGCAATATTCATTTTATTCTTCAATATAATTCATTTATTTTGCATTATAATTATGCTTATATTTATTACGTGCTCTATGATATGCTACTGCTATAATTATATTATTTATGTTTGTATTACTGAAATATACAGGGTTTTCCATTCAAAAAAGGAAAAGGGTCAATCATAAAAGGAAAAGGTCCAATCAAAAAAGGAAAAGTGTCAATCAAAGAAGGAAAAGTCCAAAGGTTTAGGAAAAAGTCCGATCAAAAAAGAAAAGTGTCAAACAAAAAAGGAAAAGATCCAATCAAAAAAGGAAAAGTGTCAATCAAAAAAGAAGGAAATTTCCCAAAAGGAAAGGAAAATGTTAATCAAAAAAGGAAAATTCCAATTAAAAAGGGAGATCTTTATTATTCTTCTCATTTTTGATAATTCTTTTGTCATTTTAAAATAATTTATAAATTTTCTGTTATTTTTCTTCATCTCTCTGCCACATATTTTTAACAATTCTTTACTTTTATTTTGATTTTTTCTCCTTATATTATAATCTTTTACATACATTTCTAACCTTTTCAATCTCTTGAGGTCATTTTTGATCTTTATTTTTTTGATCTTCTCAATTTTATTTTCTCATTTTTGATAATCCTTTTTAGGAATTTTTTTTAAAGGAAATTCAACATTTGTTCAAAAAAATGATAAAACACTAAAATATTAAAACAAGTATATAAAATTACTAAATATAATAAATATATTTATATATTATAAGTATCGGAGGCTCTAAAAAGAGCTTAATTTAATAATGAATATGTACATAAAAAACAAGTATAATTGTGTTTAAAAATTTATAGTTGAAGTTTTTGTTTAAGAAATATGGATTCGCGATTTTCGTTTGTTATGTTAAAAAATTTTCGCGATAAAGTTTAAAAAAAAAATATGTAGACTGTGAAAAATTGCCGTTAGTTGATATGACTATTGGCTGAAATATAAAGTAATTTAATTTTGAATATTTATTAATTTTTTCTATTTTCCCCGCAAGTAAGAGGATTTGAATTAATTGAGGAAGGAAATGAGAAGATGCAGGTTGCGTCCCAAATAAGATATTTCCCGTTGGACCAGGGGGTATAGGTTAAACCTTCGGGTCTTAGGCCATCCGGTAATGAAAGGTTGATTGGTTCGAGGATGTTGGGTATTTTTGCCTTATTAAAAGCGTTTTGGTTGAGTTTATTAATTGCTTTATGCCGGAGATGGTGACCTTGGCTGCGGGTGCAGTGTAGGCCGTGTCGGGCGTTAGGTTGAACGGGTAAGTTCATTGGTGGCTATGTAAACGAGCATCCAAGTTTAAATAATATAGTAACTCTCAGTTGGTCATTGGTTAAGAATTTATCTAAGGTTTGGCTTGGAAGTGCTTCGAGCCATTCATGCTCGCCATATTTATCGTTGGATTATAATAGTTGTATATCGTTAATATCGGTTGGGTTAAGACTATTTTGTAATTTCTTTATTAGGGATTCGATGATAGATTTGTTGGAAATGTATAACCGTCTGGGGTAAGAAGATTCCATTGTTAGATTGCTGCTGCTAGAAGATCATCATTGGGGGTTATGAATGATGAGATCGCAGAATTGAGGGATAGGCGATTTGAGATAAATAGAGATAGGGAAAGTAATTCTAAGGGGATCATCGATACCACCTAGTTTAGCGGGCAATTGAGCTAGGTGACAATTAAAGTCTGATAATGAAAGGTTGAGAATCCTTTCTATAAAGGTCTTTAAACTAATATTGTTTTGAATGAAAAATTTTGAGGAGGATGAGTGGAAGAGATGCGAAATTTTAGGAAGATATAAAGACTTTTTTAATAAGTAAAAAAGCTGGTGCGATGGAATGTGGTTGATGAACTTTTCCATGTTTTGCATCTCAGAAAAAGTTTTATCGATAATTTTTTCGGATATATTATTATTAAGTAATGGGGAGCCCAAGAGTTGGATATCTTCTTTTTCGATAATAGTGTAATCTTTAAATAAATCAAAGGGAATCTCGGGGTTAAGGGAGCATATTTCTGTTTTGGTTTTGTTTAATTCTAAACCAATTTTAGTGCATTCTGTTTCGAGGTAGCTTAGGAATTTGATGTGAATTACCGCAAAGGGTGCCATCATCTAGGTACCATAGGTTAAAGTCGAGTCAAAATCTAATTTAAGATCTTTCATCATATTGTGGATAGCTAAGCAGAAAAGAATAGGGCCGAGAGGGTCGCCCTATTGTACTCCCTCTTCGGAATATATAATGCTACTATTAAAATGAGGGGAGTGCTATTGTTATAGTAGATGTCTACGAAGCGTGAGTATTGGGGGAAATTATCGTAAAAAGATTCGAGTGCCGAGGAACGTGAAATTGTATTGAAGACATTCTTAAAATCGGTGGATGTTGAAGGTAGATTCGTAGGCAGTGAGAAGCTATATTTACGCCTCCTTTAGTTCACATCCTAATTGATATTTGCCAAGCAAGGAATGAGTATCGGGTTTTATTTTTTTTGCAATAATTTTAGTTATCAGCGTCTGAAAAGTGAACCGATTGCGATTGGCCGGATGCATCCATTAGGTTTTTCAAAAGCAATCAAGTTTGCACCAAATATAATTTGATGAGCTAATGTGGGAATATCTTTAGTAGTTATATTATTAAGGAAGGTGGTAAGTGAGTTAAAAAATTATTGGAATTATGAGATTTTAGTAATGTTTGGAAGTAAGATGGTCTATAGCCATCCGGGCTGCTGAAAATTTATTAAATTCACTTTTTCGCAAATATCTTGGTTTGTAATTATGAAAGAGGGGATATTGAACGGTGGGTCTGGTAAGCTAGTGTAAGAGGCACGTGGGTGAAGGGAGTTTAGGTTGTCAAGGGTCTCGTCGTTAAATGGGGCGAGTTTTGATTGTGAAGAGATTAATTTTTGTGCACCGCATATGTCGCCTTCATTTATTTTTTGGATATTTTGTTGCAGGTACTACTGAAACTTTCATTAGAATTATTGGGATTTTTAATGTATTCTAACTGTGTTAAGTTTTCCAAATGTTTGAGTCTGTCTTTTATTAGGTTAGATAGTGAGATAGATTTGTTATCTTTTGGGATTGAGAGGCATTTTAAAGGGAATGTGAAGAGATTATTCAATGATTTAAATTTGACAAATCTTAGATATTATCAAATAATTTAATAAACTGGTCAGTAATCTGGTAATTAACGCTAAATGGGATGTATTTTATTGTTGTTATTTTTTGATAAAGATAAATTCTTCTAAAGATTCGTTATTTACCTGTATGTGTTTGGTATTAATTAAGGGTGTATTAGTTTTGTGCAGTGTATTAGAACCTGAGCAAGTGAAGGCTTGGGGGCCATGTTTGTATAGATGGTCATCTTTTTTTTATATTAATAAGTTTGTGACAGGATGGGCATATTCCTTTGATACTTAGGATGAGAAGATGGTTAATACCTGAGAAGTTTGTTAATTTGAGTCTAAGACAAGAACATTGGAGTAGGGTTATTTGCTGGTATGTTGGTATATAAGGGTTTTGTTAT